GAGATCAATCAAAATTGTCTTGGTTTGCCCAATTTCTTGGGCTGTGTCGCTTTTTCTCGGAAAGCTAAGGTCTGAGAGGGTTGGGAAAAAAGAATCTTCATACATCGATGATCGAAGGTTTGATGAAAAGCGAATGATTTTTTTCTCTGAGCAGGTTTTGTGCTTCACGACCACTCCAATCGGTGCCACGTTCTCGGTCTCCCACATGTCTCACCGAAGGAAAAAGGCGACCAGATCTTATGCATCCTATGCAGCTGCCCTTTTCTTTTGTGCCACACCTATAAGGAATTACCGAAACTGGCCCATGAAATGGCCTCAACCTGTTCATAATGATGGTATTTGCCATGGTTCGCCCAAACAAAAAAATCTGACTACTCATGCGAGAGTGATCAGTTTGGGTTTTTGGATGCGGGGTATTTCGTACAGCGAACCACAATTTTGGGGGAATAGGAGAAAATTGTTTTTGCTTATGATATTGAGAAGGATTATCGATCGAAGTTCTTCCCTCTTGGGTAATCTCATGGATTATATCATATGTTGTGACCACTGATAACCAAATCGCTATCAATAAAGCAAGTAAGTGGCACAGTTCTTCCGGAACTTCATCCCACCTACCCCCATGAGGAAGGAATCCATCCTTCCGAAGGGCGGGTAAGATTTTTCATCAGGATCTATAACCCAACCCAACATACACATGTGGTACAATATGTCGGAAAGGAGGCTCTTTACCCAACATATTAGTAAAGAAAAGTAAAGCTATTATGCTATCATCTTATCTCATATCATCTCATCTATCTTCTTCGCAACGCTACCTTCAGGCATGAAAGAAATAGATACCTCACATATAAATGTAAAAACGATGCTACCTTGCCCTATATGGAATCATCATAGAAAACTCGATTTATTTCCATTTATTCACATGAAACAAGCTGAATTTCTCTACAGTGTACATATAATTCTAGCAGCATGCTAGGTACAGCAGTAGATCGAAGATCGAGCGAGCATGTGATTTCTTGACACGCGGTTATCGTTAGTGTAGTGACCAGTTAGTGACAAGTTACAAGTTACGGCATGAGATCTACATACATACATATACATCATAATCTACAAAGTATGCTGCATACACATCGCATCTTCTACTCGGGGACTTGTGAATGTGATGCGATATTAAGCTCCTAATGCTAATGCTCAGTACGCACGCTGCGTGTGTGAAGAATTATTCCCGAGTGAGGTGGACAACGCAGGATGTTCGATGTTGATCTTGGGGTCTCTGTTTGGTTTTGGATTAGATCAGATTAGATTAGATTAGATCGACGAGCATTATCTTGGGAAATATACTATATCGTTTCATGGAGGGTCATTGACTTTTTTTATCCTTTGGATTTCTTAGGATGTAAAGAGGGAGATGTGTTGGAGGTTTGATATGTACGTGTGTATGTACGTATGTATGTTCGACGTTAGATGATGCGTTGTGATATGATGTGATGCGAGACGAGGTGATGGGATGGGATGAATCACAATGATGCGAATTCGTTTCAAAGTTTTGAAACGGATTTTCAAGCGTCAAATATCGATATTTCCTTTATGGATAAAGTAAGTAGGTAAGTTAGTTGCGTACTTCTTAGTAGATCAGTCATCGTATAGTATGGTTTGGGAAATGTAAGTGTAGATGTGGATACGAATGCGGACGTGAGGGAGGAGGTTTTGTATGTTGATTTCAGTCGGGTTGGTGCGATGAGGAAATACTCTTTACTTGATATTTTTTACTTTTGGTTCTTTGTTGGTGAGATGTGGTGAGATGAGATGAGATGAGATGAGATGAGGTGCGATTCTTGAAGATTCTTGAGAATTACTCATTCCTAGTGAGTTTTAGGAACTGGGAAAGGAAAGGAAACGGAAAGGAGTGGCTTGAAACTTGAGATTTTGAAACTTGACTACAGTAAGTGCAGTGCAGGTCAGGTCAGGTGAGGTGAGATAAGATGAGGTGAGTGAGAGAATCGCGGTAGGTGTGTAAGCGCTACTCGACTGCACTCAATTTAACTTACTGGATCGTCGATGATCTCCATGGACCTGTGTGTATGTGCGTATTTATGCGCTTTTGTATGCGCCTGTGTGTGTGTATGATCATCTCGATGGAATGATAGATAATTTGGAGACGTCATTGTTTTTGTTGGGTTTTGTTATTATTGTTATTGTGTCAGATTATCAGATTATCATGTGTCATCTGTCATCCATCTTTCATATCACTCGTCATGTCACTTGTCACCCGTCATCCGTCATCTATGAGAGTGGTTTATAGCCTTTACTGTACTGTACTGTGCTTTACTATTCTATTCTTGGGACATCAATAAATTAGGGGAGAGAGAGGGTGAGGGGAAGTTGATAAGGGGAAGCGGGATGTGGAATAGGAAATGGAAAATTGAGAGCAGAGGATAGAAGATAAGTTTATTCGTGTTATTGTGTTTACTACGTAGGTACTTGGTAATTGTTTACCTTTCTCAGAATGATGAGACGGTGCTTTCTTTTGTTTTTTCTTTTCTGCGGTTTCTGAAGGGTCGGGATTTTCTGGAAGTTTGAGATTGGAATTGAAATTAAAACTTTAGAGCCTTAAATGTGAATTTCTTTCGTTTGATTTCTTGAATTTGAGATGGTATAGTATGGTGTCTCAGTGTTCGGCGATTCTCACTGCTTGTTCTTTTTTTGTTTCCCTTTTGGGATTTCTTTCCGTTTCTTTTCACTGTGTTTTGTGGATTCGATTTGAGAGTTTGAGGGATGAGATGAGATGAGATTGTGAATTGGCGTGAAGTTAGAGTAAGTACATAGTGAGTTTTGGGATGGGATGGAGACGGAATGGAGTATGACTTTTCTTTTTTATTGGCGATGAGTGGGTGCTTGATGGGAAAGAAAGAGGAATTGAAAAAGGGCTTGTTTGCATAGACGGTGGATTTTATTGTTGATTACTTGGCTGAATTATTTTTGATTTGAAGATTTGCAAGTGATGGGAATTGTGGTTGAGGAAGGAGTTCGTGAAGATTACTTGTTACTTTGTTATGTTATTGGGATAAGGCGGGATGGGATGGGATGGAGAGGAGGGGAAAAGATTGATACCAAGGTATGCGCACTTTGCGGTCAACAATGCTGAGGTCATACGAAATGCGGGAGAGAATGGGGGGACGTTGCTAGTGACCAGTGAATGGTCAGGTTGAAAGACGGGAGAGGTACATCTTGATTCATGCTTGAGATATAGAAATATGGAAGACGAGAGGCGAGAGAGACTTAGAAAGAATAAGAGATGCAGTTTCCTTTGGAGGCATTTTGGAGATCTTGGCTTATATATCTTATGGAGGGGAGAAGGGAAGTGAGGGAAAGACAGGATGCGGTGGAACAGGATGGCTCGAGAAGTCTTTGAGTTTATACTTGTGACAGAAATAAGTTTATCAGTTAAACTGGATTACTGATATAAGGAGAATAACTCGCTAAAGGTAAGATAAGTTCGGAAATCCGTCTCGAGACATTTGGAAAGTTTAGGGAGGGGGCTTGAAAGGAGATGAGTAACTAGACTGGGTATTTATTCTAAGTTGGGGGTAAGTAAGGGCTAATTGACATTTGCACTATGATACATCAGAGCTTATGATATCAATCGATGCGAAATTCACTTTATCTAGCTTTATTTTGGGTACTTTTCCAGAAGATTTGTTGTCAAGAGGGATGAACGTCTGGATACATATTTATGGGTGAGTGAGCTAATTTCTTAATTCTGAATATTTAGATGTCGTGGTACTGGGGAATTTTTGTCGTTCTGATGTGTACGGGGTTTTGCTATTCTCTGAATGTAAAGGTTTATGTGTATCTGAGTATCTTTCCTCGGTGTTTGGTTGGAGTGGGATTCAGAAGGTAGTTGTGTGGATGAATGGGCATGGTATTCAAAGGCTAGAAAATAAAGCTTTATTTTCTAAGGCATGATTATGGAGACGGAGAGTGATGTAAACTGGGGTCATGGTAAGGGTATGAGTCGAATGGCATCGTGTGGATATTCAGAGTAAGAAGGAAGAAGAAAATAATTTTAATAGATTAATGGTGAAATATCCTCTTGGGTATCGTTCTCATTTTCATCGATTTTCATTACAAGAATGAAAAATGATACATTGCTGATCTTCTAGGGGCTTGCGGGAATGTTCGCTTATAGTGACTGGAGGAAGAAGAAGAGAAAGGGGAAATATTATACATGAAATCTTCGAGCGCAGCGAGCAATGGGGGTTTGGGGGCTTGCTCCCATAATGATAGTGATTAGACGAATTGCTTTTGGCTATATAGATGTTGGGGATAGGTTAGATGGTATGCATGATGATTAGTTTGAGAGGAGGGGGATGGAAGGATAGTTTTGTATGATTGACGTTGCTTTGGTCTAAGGTTACCTGAATGGAATACAGAATGATCAAGTATATGTATGGTACATGAAGATTTCAAAATTGACAAGTTAAGAAACGATATTTTATAAATCAAACCCTGTATATATTGAAGCTATACATCCAGATACAATTTTGCTCATTGGTTGCGCTGACGTCGAGTTGTATATGAATTCGCATACTCAAGAATCTCTAGTTTATATCGACATATCAACGTCTTTCATGTATTTATCAGAAGCCTTGAAACTCAAAAATCGCGATCATTAAAGTCAGATTAGTAGACAACTCAAAAAACAGAAAGAAATATAATTTCATTTATTTGATAATAAATTTTATTCAAATCTTCATTCATGGTTCTTAAAATCATCAAATTCTCAAAACAGACTAGCGCCATCCCAAAAATTATCTCGAACCTCAATTATTTTGTCCCGCCATAATTATAACTTTTGAATGTGCCATTGCCTCCCACGCACAACAGCTACGATATTCAAGGGGAGCAGGTCCAGATATAGGAGAAGATCTGTTTACAAGGAGTGATTGATCGAATATTGCAAGAACCCATTTCAGGGCTCAAAAGAGCTCGAATTTTCAATCATGGCATCAAGTCGTATGTCGCCCGGCGGGGCACTCCTACGAGCCTCTCGAGTCTTCGCGATTCCCAATCCCCTCCCCCGACCAACCGGTACCCTCTCCTCCCAAGCAACCTTCGATTCCGATACCGCGACGCTCCCACATCCAATCCATCAATCTATTAGCACCCCGCCATCCTCCCTCGCAAAAGGTGACTGGGGATTCAAAAGACCCCTCCCTCTACGAGCCACCACCCGCACCTCCACGCCCATCATTCGCGTCGAAGCTATCGATACCTTTGAGCACGTTACCGAGTTTGGTTCCGCGGCGGACCACAGTCTCACATTACAAAAATGGCAGGAAATGAATATTCCCATTTCGACACCCCGACTCAGCAAATCCGTCTCTGCGACCCGCGATCAAAATATTCCTAAACATAGAAGCGTTTTTGATGATAGTATCGATACAACGGTTAGAAACTCAAGTATTCAGGCGGGAATCACTGGGCAGGGAAAAGACGACACGCGCTGGAAATTCTCAGGTCCATGGTTGGCGGGTTTGACCGAGGGCGAATTTCAAGAATATGTAGCGAAGGAGGTGGGAAGGAGAAAATCGGAATTCAGACAATTTTTAAAGGAATCGTGTGCTGCATCTCTGACGAACGAAGCGAAAAAGAAAGCAGTTCAAAATGATGAAGGGTTGGGAGATTTCAAAACCACTTCTGTAGAGGAGGTTACGGAAGAACAATTATCAACTTACATCCGCCATCTACGATACGACATCTCCACTCTGAACCTCCAAATCCGCGCCTTCCTCGATCTCGCTCCTTCTCCTGCTCCCCGAGCCCAAGACGAAACAGAGATTTACGATGAATTAATTTCTCTTCGTCGGCCCAAGGCCGTCGAGGTCGTATCCAGCTCTCCATATGCCGAATCCGGACCTCCTAAAACCCATCCTAGTGCCGGATTATCTTATTCGCGCAATAACAGCTGGACATACAACCATGCGCTCTATGGACCACAAGCCCATGCTCCTCCTGTTGAAGCCCGTATCGTCATGCCCAAGAATGCATCGGGTGCTCCTCCAGTGCTAGGTGTAGGAGGTGTGGTTGCGGACATCCCATCTGGATTTATTCAATTCGATGTCAAACCTCTTGGAAGCAGTAACCCTAAATCCCACGACCAAGTTGCCGGATTATTATTTGTCGAGCCCCAGAAATATGGAGGTAGTAAAACGTGGGTCGAACCTAAACATGCATATATTGATGCAAAGGGAAAGATTGTACTTTCCGTAATTCCAGCGGATAAAGACGCCGTGGCAGTGAAAGAGGGAAAAGTAGATGACATTCCAGAACCACTCCAGAGAAATTATTTACCAGCGGGGAAGACGTTCACAAGACGAAATGGTAGTGGTGAAGGATACGGATTGAGTGGATTTTAGCAAAATCGATGGAGTAAATGAAATGTGTATATTATGTTGCAAATGTACATTTTAAACAGAATTCAAATGAATGTTAGACGCCATTACAACTGTGTAAAATTACGAATTTTGACAGACAGATTTAATCTGCATGGAGATTATGGGGGCAAGCCCCCAAACCCCCTTTAGCTCGCTACGCTCGAGATACAATCGTGTAAAGGATATGAAATGTATTTTATTCTCTTTCTAAGCAATCTACTTCTACCTCCACCGCCCTCTGATCTAAAACCCCCGAAGGACCCAGTGAAGCCTTATTTTATTATACATGAATCAAGGAAGATCATATACATGTACATACAAATGAAGAGTACCTAGCAACATCTATTAGTTTCAAATTAAAGGCCTGCATTCATATTCCGAGAGGATTTCCCATCCATCTGCTCTCTACTTTATGTCTTCTTCTTCTCTCCATCACACCCCTCGCCTCTCATTCCCTGAGCATCGTTTGCATACCCACACCAACTCACCATCCCACTACAAAACCCCCTGCGCAATCCACACCACCCCCTCCCCATCATCCGCGGCGACGCTCGCGCCCAAAAACCACGGCGCCCCAAACGTACAGCCATTCCCGGTCTCTACACTCATCACACACATTCCCTCGGGGGTGACGCCCCCAGGACCCGAGGATCCCCGCGCCAAATACCAATACGGCACGCGCACGCTCACCGATGCATTTCCCTTCCCGGCAAACTCAAAATCGAGCGTGAGATCGCGGGGTATGTCTTCGCAGTTCGATGGATACACGATGACGTTTTCGTAGTCCTGGAAGCCGGTGCTGGTGAAAAACGAGGTGCTGTTGTATGTGTACGGGAGCGTGAGAGCCAGGGAGCCGGAATCGACGAGACATGTTTCGGTGGGGTAATCGGTGGGGATGGAGGTGTTCGCGTGCGAGATGATGGGTTGGGAAATGTAGTATCCGCTTCCACCTGCCGGTGTCGTGATGGGCACGGGGATGAGTTCCCCGGAGTAGGAGTCCGCGGGGGGGAGCGCGCCCAGGAGGAGGGTGCCGGTGAAGTTGGTGGTGACGGATGCATCGGCTGGCGGAGGGGAGAAATACATCGACGCCACGGATGCAGAAATGCGGCCCTGGTTGAGGAGATTGGTTTTGAGATTGGGGCCGTTGTCGTAGGGGGTTGAGGGACATAGACCCATGATCCCGTAGTCGTAGGAGAGCGTGGGGCAGGGCTCGCCGTCGGCAACATACTGACGCACGATGCCGGAAGAGATGAGCGCGATTTCGACGTTGGGAATGGCGGGGCTGGACGAGAAATACAGCGTATCGTTTACGGAGTGGGTGGCCTCGAGGATTTTGGAATTCCCACCGTAGGAATAGGATTCGGTGAAGCTGGAGAGGGTGACGTTGTCGGGATGGTAGTAGTATGCAGGACTGGTGTTGCACGCACCGGTGAACCCGAGGTATTGGGAACCGTAGTTTACGGTTGCGTTTGGGGCGAAGACCTTGTGTTCTGTTAGTTTTTGTTTTCTCCCTACTTTCCTCCTCTCCCCCTCTCGAAAAAATGAGATATATCCATCTTCCTCCCTCCTTCAAAACCCAAATCACAAATCCCAATCCCGGCCTCCTCCAAATCCAAAAAATAAATAAATAAATCAACATACCCAAAAATCCTCACTCCCATAATCAACCACCACCTCGATACTCTGCCCAATCTCTTCATTGCCACTTCCCACAAAAACCGGTGTCGTGACTTTACTCAATGGTCCATATAAGAGACGAATCGGCATTGAAATCGTATCTGTCTGTGCATGCGTGATGGTGTTCAAAGCCATCAGGCTTGCCAATGATGAGGTTTTCATGATATGTGATGGATTCCCAAAAAGGAGATGTGGAAGAAAGGAGATAATCGGAGATCAAAACCCAAAAATCAGTAACAACCTTAACCAAAAACTAAAATTTATATCAAAAGAAAAAGATAATCCATCAACTGATATATATATATATATATATTGTGATGTATACTCTACCCTTAGTGTACCCAGATATATCTCAGATACTTAATATACTTAATATAGAAAGCCGTGCATATGATGCGCTTGCGACACCTAGGTACTTACTCTGATATGCTACTTACTATGCTATGATATTCAATGATATAATATAATTTCCCAAATCAAGCGGGGACAATACGAGAAAAAAACCAGGGAAGTATACGGAGTACACTCCGTATATTTCCCTCGATCATTGCCTCAGTTCACCCACTCTTCAAGAATATGTATGTATGGATGCATAGATCACACCAGTATCTAAACTTAACTTTACTTATCTACATGCAAAGGACATACGAGGTACATACGAGGTACATACGAGGTATATACATATACATACATCCACATTGGTACCGAATTCGATGTAGCATAACCCCATTTCATTTCACACCCACCATCGATCGTATATCTTACCTACCTACCTACCTTCCTATACCGATACCGACACCGAGATAATCCCCAGTACTTGTCAGATACATTCATCTACCCATCTACCCATCTACCCATCCACCCATCAATCAAACCTCATACCTCAAACCTTCCCTTCCCTTCCTCCCATTCCCCAAATTCCCATTCCCATCTTTTCCTTTCCAAGGCCTTTCCAAGGTATGAAATCAACTCTGTACAATACAATACATCAATCAAAACCCCTCCCTAAAATCCCCAAAATCCAAAGATTAAGATCAACATAAAAGTAGAGATGAACCCAATATACCAGACACTACTGTTTCAAACTCCCTCTTAGCCCAATCGAGTGGCGCAATAATAGTAATACAGTAATACTCCAGTCGATTGATTGATTGGCATGCTTGTTTATAGTCAGGGGTAAAAAAAAACAAAAAAAAACAGTGTTCTTGTGGAACTGTAAAGCTTGTTTTGTGCACACGATCAGAGATTGATGTAAATCATATGTACCTAGGGTAGGTACATGAAATATATTTATATCTTAAGAGCATTACTGAGCTGAGGGATGTGAAAAATTTCAGAGATTACGAGAAGAAAAAAAAAAGAAATGTAGATTTTTAATGAATCGATCATGCTATGCCTTCCTAATAAACTAACTGTATACACGTATACACACACAAAACCCGCTGTAATTGACTATCTTTTCATCAATTCATCTCATACCATCTCAATCCCTGCTGGCATATTACAATGCTCACAGTATCAAAAGATTCATCAATTCACCCCATCCTGATATTCCTTCATACCCCCTCCTCCCCTTACCCCCACAATCTAACCACCAGAGCCTACCCACAACCCCTCAAAACTTAATTACCCTCTCCCCAACCCACCCAACTCCTCGGCATAACCCTCCAAATCTTGACCTCACCACTTCTCAAATCATCCAACTTGAAGCTCTCCAGCTTAACCTTCTTACTCTCTCTTCCTTGTTCCCACGCCCTTAGCTTTTTCTTCGTACCATCCCATTCAGCAACTACACCCATATGATCGGGTTTACCAATTTCTGCTGTATATTTTGTATGCATTGATCCATGTTTACCTTGGAATCTGGTATTTCTCAGTGTAACAATATCACCTGCTCGAATCTCATCGAATTGTTGAGTCGATGCATTGGCCATATTACTATAGACGAGAGCACCATAAGCTCGAGTACCTACTGGCATAAGTACACCAGCTAATGGTTTCAGTAATTCGAGAATTAATCCTTGAGGTGTACCATCACCGACAATAGTATTTTGTCTAACAGTCACTGCTTCAATGACACGCTTACCAAAGCGTTCATGAGCTTCTTCCAGTTGATCTTGACGTAAACGAGCAGGAGGCCCTTCGTGCTTTTGCTCAAGTTGACAATCAGATGGATCCTTTGGATTGTATTGAGCTGCAATAATCGTTTGAGAGTAATCATGAAATAAGACGAAAAGTTCTCTTGTGACAACAGGTTGATTCGTATCAGAAATTGATGATGTATCTTCCGATTCGGTCAAAATGTCTTTTCGAGCCTGGAAAACAGGGGGGAGACTTTTTTTGACAATCCACCATTGACTACCAATTCCCAAATCAACATCATTGGCCATAAAGCCTGAATCCATAGACATTCTGTTTAAATCCATAGATCTTCTTACGCCGCCAGTAACAGCCGCGCGATTAAGATCCAGAGATTGTTTTATTGAAGGCTTATTCGGAGGTGGAGCTGGAGCTCGACCTTGTTTAGGCGAAGCAAATGATCTGGGTGGAGAAGCTGAGTATAAATCATCTTCAACAGGTTCCATTTTTGGTGTAGCTGGAGCAACGTTAACTGGAGCAGTTGTTGTCGTTGGTGCATAATTGTAAGGATCATATTCATTGTTCTCAGGTTCCCATGGAGCTGGAGCTCTTCCGGGTGGTGGCGGTGGTGGAGCTGGTGGAGCAACTTTGGGAACCTCTGCTGATGGACGAGGTGGTGGTTGTGATGGCAACGGTGGGGGAACAGCTTTTGGAGCTGGAGCTGTAGGTGGAGGAAATGGAGGAGCAAAAGTTGGAGAAGCAATTGGAGATCGAAGAGCGGCATCATCAACACTTGCTTCTTTAGTGTGCTTCAAAGCATCCTTATGTGGTACCGCGGAAGCGATATCAGTATCATAATCACCTTCATAATCGTCCTCTTTTCCATCGTCCACGGGTGGAGGAGGTGGATTTAAGTGGGGAATGATATTTTGATCACCTGTTGAAGATCTGCTCAATGGTGCCCCAGGCGGAGGTGGTGGAGGAGCTCGAGTTTGAGCTGGAGTAGGAATACCAAGCGGAATAGGCGGCACTCTACTAGCACGTCTACCAGGGGTATTTGGAGATTGCGGTGATTGTTCAGCACTAAAGTATGAAGCTCTCTTACTAGCTGGTGATCGTGGAGAACCTGGTGCCTCAGAAGGTCGAGGAGGAGCTTGAGGAGGTTCAGCTAACGACATATTTCGTGTTTGCTCAGCCATTTCATCATCAGACTCGTAACCAGCGCCTGGTGACAAAATCTCTGCAGGAGGAGCTGGAACTGGTCGAGCTAATATTGTAAGTATATCGGATTGATTGGATTCACTGATAGATGACTTACAATCAATTGGAATAGGTGGAGGAGCAGGTCGTCCACTCGGAACTGGGGGTGGTGCGCCGCCATCATGAGTTGGAACTGTAAAGGAAATTAGTCTTTTAATAATTGCACTATTACATCGAAATATTTACCTGGTGGAGGTGCCGATTCTTCTTCCTTCTCGGGTACAACATCCTCAACATCCGGTACTACATCAGCAGGACGCGCTGATGAGACTGGTCGCTTCTCCTCCTCAGTCTCCTCCTGTTTCTCGACTTCATCCGGACTTCGAACTCGAGACATACCAGGAAGAGGAATCATTGGTACAGGCGGCGCGCTAGCGATTGGAGAAACTATCGCGTCTGATCCAGCAGTGCTTCCGCGTTTTGGAAGTGGCAAGGATGGCTTCTTCTTCTTTGGTGGAAGAGGAGCTGCCATTGGCATTCCACCGCCAAACATTCCATGCATACCCATACCACCGCTCATTTTTGCCATTCGAGCACGTAATTCTTCTTTGCGTCTTACTTCGGGGTCGATATCGTCTTCCTCCTCCTCTTCCTCCTCTGCTTCAACAGGCGAAGGTTCTTCAACGGCGCCTTCTTCCTCGCCAACATCTGGTTCCACGACTGGAGCTGTTGGCGCACGAACAGGAGGTTGAGGGGGGTTGACTTTAGGTTTGTCGTCGCTATCATCCTTTCCGGTATCCTCCAATTCTTCCGTAGTTTCGGCTGCTCCTGACATATCCGCTTCATTTCCATCTTCAATCGATGGAATGGGTCCCCGAGAAGATTTCGTTCGTCGTGGCACACCTTCTTCTTCCCTAACAGAATCCATTGACATCTTTCCAGGCCTGTCCCCAGTATCCGGTCGTTCTAAGCTAGCAGTCTCTGCCTCTTCTGTGACTTCATGAGATTCTGTTCTCTTCTTGGGTGGGCGCTTAGGCTTCTCTTTCTTCTGCGCTGCATCCGCATGTCTAGAAGCCTGCTCCATTTGTTGTTTTTGCAAAAGTGCGATGCGTTCCTTGAGACTCGTTGGCTTAGGTTGTTCCTCTTCATCGTTGTTGCTTGGAGAAGTGGGCGTTAATCCTGCCCGTTCAGCTTGTTCTTGATTCTCATTCTCCTTTGCTGCAATCTCGGGATCTTCCTCACGTCTGTATATCTTTTGTGGCGGGGGTTCGCGCGGTGTAGGAATATAAGCATCCTTTCTTGGAGGTGGGGCAACAAATGGCTTTTTGATGAAATTGTTCGAGCCTCCAGAACCGAAACCTGCGGGTTTGAATGGCGCTGGCGGAGGTGCAGCCTTGTTAAATGCTGCAATACGATCTCTAAATGACCCACCGCTTGGTTTTTCACTAACAGGAGGAGAAGTTGGCTTTTGACTTGGAGGTGGTTTTGCAGCTGCTGGAGCTGGAGGTGGAGATGCAGGTTTTGGTGGTTTAGCCTGTGGAGCTGGTTGAGGAGGGGGAGGTTGTCTTTCTTGTACCACAGGAGCTTCATGAACCTCTTCAGGCTGTGTTTCGATTTCCGGCTGAGGTTCTGGCTCTCTTACTGGCTCGGAAGCGACCACAGGAGAAGCTGGTTCGGGTTCCTTCTTTGGTCGATTGACACGCGTAGGTCTTGGAGGTGCGGTAGGCTCATACTTTTCCACAAAATTTCGTGGGAAGATACCTTCTTGTTTGACTCCTGAAGCATCAACATATTCTCCCGCATACCAATCCGCATCTTCCTCCTCCGTCACCGTAATGATTTGTCCATTCGGAAAGTGAAGATCATCATCATGCGGTGAAGTATATTCAAAGATGGCCTTCACCTTGAATGGTGGAATGGACATATTGAGGGTAAAGGTAAATGTTGTGGTGCAAAGTTATTGTTGATGCTGTAACTCGGTCCCAACTAGTTACCAACCACCGAAGTCCGGTTTTGTGACGGATGATGTTCGTAACAATGTAGCGGTGGATTCGAAGGAATGAAACTTTGAAAGGTGGAAACACAATTGCACAAGATTTCTTTTGTAATATTTACGGTAATTGAGAGCGAGTAGTCTGTAGGAAAGAGGAAAATGTCGGGAATCTTTGGAAAAGAGGCGGGGCGGTGTTTGTATCTAAACTCTGCTACTAGTCTACGTCAGCGCATGAATGAAACGAAGTCATAGACGGGATATATCTTGAAAGTTGACAGACAACATATACAACATTGATAACTTACCAAGAGCTTTAAGATTTCTTGAAATAAACTAAATATTAAGTATTGATTACTCAAGTAAACCAATATGTAGGTAGGTACTAGGTAGGTATCATTGACTAGTAATTTATTGGAAGAGAGAGACCTTGGAATGAAGGATGATGGAAGGTTTGCAGAGTAAGGTGGGCGGGCATACATATGCTAGATGCTAGATGCTAGATGCTAGATGCTAGGGACCTAGGGATGCGAATTGATTTGTGGTGCTTTGCGGGCTTCCCTTTTCCTTTGGGACTTTCTACCTATAAGGCCATCTGGAGTTGCAGTTGCATGATCTGGTGGGCAACGGAAAGCTTGCAAGTGATTATTCAAAGATTTGCTGAGGAGCACTTTGATGAATGTGGATGTGGCACTTTGAGGCACAGGGTATAATTGTGCAGGTGCCCAGGTGAGTCCAAGTGGTCAAGAGTGGTCAAGAGTGGCTTAAGCAAGAGGTACAAGGGTTTCTTTGGGAATTGTCGAATTGTCGGTTCATCGATTCACTGGACTGGTTCACTGGTTCACTGGTTCATTTATGGATTTGAAGCTTAAACGATCTCGAGACGATATATGTACTCATTCATGTAAGAGAAAATATACATCTAATAATAATCAACCATAGGACCCCAGGTACAATTACATTGGCTCAAACTTGAACGATCAATCCCCCCCTCCAATCAATCATTCAATCCTTCTCTTTCCTCAACTGCAGGTGAGCTCTGGTACTGGAGACTAATGCCATGCCATATACAGCTATCTATATAATTTAGGCTGTCGGCTGTACTAGGTGAAGTGATTACCTACCTAGTACTTATTACCCTTCAACGGAACAAATTGAATGGAATACCGTACCCGTACCGTACTTTAATAGATCCACGGATTAAGAAAACCCAACCATCAATCTTATCAATCAAATCAAATAAAATCAAATAAAATCAAATCTATTCCAATCTATACATCAAATATCTACCTACCTACCCACAACTCAAGAAGAGGACAACAAAAACGAAAACGAAGATAAATTAAATACAAAAATCGCAAACATGTCAACTCTTCAAAAGCCCAAATCAATATTAAAAAAGACCACTTCCTCCTCCTCCTACCCCTCCACCTCCACCACTTCCACCACCACCAACAACCCCTCACCCACCAAAGCCGAGCGCGACCGCGAAGTAGCCCTCTACCACGCGCGCCTCATCCAAGAACGCAAAGAAATAGAGCTCGAAATTCTCTCCTCCACCGAATCGCTGATTGATTTCCCGCTCGCCGCCTCTCCGCCCCACGATGCCTCGAACCCCTCACCATCCGACGCCCGCGCCTTCAAAGAAATGCTTCGACCCTTTCAGCCCAGCGACTACGATGCCCTGATCCTCGAACGCAATCTCGATAGTCGCTGCGGGTATACCTTGTGTGCCAATCCGCGGCCGCGAGATAATAAAGGTGGTCAGTGGAGATTACTGGGCATGTCAGGAAAGGCAAAGGATTTTAGGATTGCAAAGAAGGAAGATGCAGAGAAATGGTGCTCGGATACGTGTGCCAGGAGAGCTTTGTATGTTCGAGTCCAATTGAGTGAGTGTCCAGCTTGGGAAAGGAGTGGCGACAGTTCTGGTACGAATATAGACCTACTGGACGAACCTAAGACGGAGGAGGATTTGGTTATGGACGGAATTGAGAATTTGGACTTGAACAAGCAGGAAGCCCAAGACAAGCAGAAGAAATTTGGAAACCTCGCTTTAGAGAGGGGAGAGACTGGTCAAGGTTCATCGAAACATGTCTCGAATTTCTCAATAGTTGAGAAAGAAGTCAAACATGGTGATGTCAAGCCGCCGACCTTCGACTCGAATGAACTTGCTGATAGGATGGATACATTACATTTGGATCTGGAAGGTCATACATCTACTTTTAATCATGGCAACAATTATCGAGATTTATTTGGCGAAGATGATGACGATACAGAGATGGATACAGACTGGAAAATATGATTGCATTACTTGGAGTTATGGAGTTCATGGCAGGAAGGAGTAAAACTATGATACCCCACGTCCGTCACATTCAATGACATAGATTAACAAATGAATCAATTCTTACTGGTGCACCTCGAATTTCAACCGCCAATCGACTTTCCTGGGACTAAAACCGTACAATATCATTCACGCAAAACTTACCATCAGATAGGAACGATGGCAATATGAAATTCTCAACGCGTTCTGTGTATACACTTGCGGCTGGGTGCACTAGACTTGAACGAAAAAATCGAAAGATTGTAATCACGGAAGGTTCCGCATGGAGTTGCTGAAAAATGCACTTCAGGGAGAAATACTTTGTAGAGACTGTAGCTCATGCTGTTGATATGTCGGCCGCATGCATGAAGCTCACAGCATACACCATTAGAACATCATCATATTCACGAAAAGCGAAAGGTTTTCCCGAAGGATGGCAATCAAGCCTCATCTCTCATAAAGAGAGAATCACGGGCGACACCTGGTTTTGGGAGGAATTCTCTCACATTGATCTGTATACACTTCCTGTCCGTCCGTTATACGCCAGTAGCCATCAGATCCATGTGCTTCCCAATAAAATCCCCCATACCCTTTGTAAATCCATAAATTTAATCTCTGCGGGCAGGTCTGTCGCCGAATCGTCTTGGTCCACGCTCGGTGGTTTGTGCTTGAGTGACTGGGGTAACGTTGCATGGGATAGAATCGAACTGTAACAAAAATATTAGATACGAAAATGAATGTCGAATTGCGCAAAATACATACACCAAGGGACTTGAGGAGATCCTTTGTCTCGACATCGACCTCGAGTTGTCCGCTCTCAGTGCTGGAAACATCGAGAGCAGAAACCTCTGGAACGTATTGATCCTTACGTTCTCTCTCCTCTTCTTGGAGCTTGAAGGAGATACCACGGACTGGTCCACGTTGAATACGCTTCATCAAATGGGTGGTGTAACCGGCAATCTATTTCGTCCATTGTTAGAAACCTGTCATTTTTCCATCCGCGTCAATTGCAAGTTTTTAATTTACCTTGTTGCGGAGTCTCTTGGAAGCAATGATGGCGATCTCATCACAGATTCTCTTGTTGGTCTCGAAATCGAGAGTCAACTTTGGGTAATATCTCTCGATAATGACCTTGGCGGACTTCTTAACAGTCTTGGTACGAACGCGACCCATGATTACGGTATTGAGGGGGTTGTATGTGGTGGTTGTCGAAAGTTTTTGCGGTTGTCGATTGAGAGGTATAAAATTTTCAAAATTCTTTTGTGTGGGAAAAGTCGTCGATGTCTCGCTAGCTGGGTCACTAGTGTCGTTTTATGTTCACGTGACCACAACCCCCACAACCTGTTCGTAGGAGAAGCCCCTCAAAAATCTTGTGTAAATCTTTTGAATTAATCAAATTCCAAATCGATCACAAATTTAATATATAAATACAGAAAGACTAAAAAATATATTAGCTCTTGTGTATTTGAATAACATTCAAGAATTATAATTTATATGATATTCGGAAGAATTAATCGAGTTATTGTATTGCAAGTATTATCGGCGTGATCAGTCGCACCTATCTTCTTTCCTACAAATATACAATCTGGACGGAACATCATCTAAATCCTGGGGTGATCCGGGGGTATAGAAATATCTTTTATATAAAGATACAAATACACTGCCTTAGCTAGATTAACCTCTAGGAATAAGTATATTACGGAAATTCTTCCTATATTAACAACTCGAGATTGAATTTCACATGTGATACGAACCATAAAACATTGATAATTATAATTAAATGCTCTTTACTCGAAAGTCTCCATAATAGTACAAATATCCAGACCTTCCATTCCCCATTTCTCCCTAACACTTCCTTCTAAAGGGTATCATGAACAAAGAAAAAGTACAAGCTTATTACTATCATAGGAATGAATGTATGTTTACCAAGGTCGATTTATCCCAATATGTATACCAATGAAAGTTTCTTGGAAAGAATCTATTGATCCCGGGGTGTAGTAGGAATATCCCAGATCGAGGAAGCTAATTGTGTAGATTCAGATGGGGATGAATCTTGTTCGACGTGTGAATTTGAAGGTTCGTTTTGATTGTCAACGTCAGAATTCGAAGCAAAAGGTATGGCGGAGGTGGATGTGAATACTGGAAGATCATATTTCTTCGCTGCAACTGGTGTGTTTGTATTCGGTGGTAACCATCGAAGTGGTTCTTGTTGTGCTATCGTGCTGGGAATCGGGCCTTGTGGTTGAAAGAGCACAAATTTGTCCGCGCTGTAAGTTGATGAATGATCCGAAACATTTCCGGATTCATATTGTTCCATGGGAGGATCGATAGGTGAACTAATCGGTAAGGGAGCTTGTTCAGGCTCTTTCAATTGAGCAGAATCATGTAGAGGAACAAATAGTTGAGGGGTTGAAGGTCCAGGTGAAATACTCATTATTGGTGTGGAAGCTGCAGATTGATTGTAGGTCGTCTCAGAATTGGCTGTTGTAGGTGGTGTTTCATTTGACATATTTGGGGATACTTTCCCATCTTCCTGGCTCGATTCAATCTTTACCCTATGCTTTTCTTCTTCCTTGGCTTCTTTCTGTGCTTTAGTCAGAAGACTAATCTTGATTTTCTTCATACCAGAGGTTAGACTATCAACGTCAGATGACTGGTTACTATTTTCTGCAGTTGAAACAGCCCCAATGTTATTCTTCAAATTGCTATCAGAACCAGTCACTGGAGGAGACTTCTTGCGGGGTCGACCTGGACCTGGTTTTGATGCATCAGTTCGAGGTTTGGCAGGTGCTCTTGTTTTCTTTACAGCGACAGGTGGTGGAGGAGGCCCACGAGAGCTCATAGCGGACCCCGGTCGTACACTCATAGAACTACTCGGTCTTTGAGGAAGTGATGGCGCTCTATTAGCAGCAGGTACCGGGCGAGAAGGAGGAGGCATTGCCGCAGTGGTGGATATAGATGCGGCGCTAAGTCTCCTAACAGACTTTTGCGTTGATTGACTAGAGTTCGCATCGGATGTTTGACTGGTGCTTGGAGCGGGAGGACCCTATTAATTGTTAGTTTGTAATTATACGATACGGCGTAACTACATACTTTGTGTACAGGGGAAGCAGCGGTGCTGGGAACGGTTCTTCGACGGTTTGATTTTGCAGCAGGCTTTTTGGCCTCATCCTTCTCGATGCTATCAAGCAATTTTGGTGGAGGTTTTCTTGTTCGTAAAGACATTCTGGCATTAGCAGGCTCCGGAATGGCAGGTTGTTGGGCGCCTTCAGAGTTTGCTAATGATTGACGTTCTTTTCTTGCTTTTGTAGCTTCGGCAGCAAGATCTTCCCATTGACAACTCTTCGTCTGTCTATCAGTTGGAATAAGCAATTTACTCAATTCATGAGCTGCAACTGTCCAATGAACATCGGGTGGTGGAGGAGTAGGTGGCCTAGGAGGTGAAGATCTTGGAACTGGCACTCCATTTCTCATACCCATCGTCGATACACTACGTTGCGCAGTAGGAGTATTGACAACTTTAGCAATGAAGGATTGTGTAGGAGATGCAAAATTTCCTGGAGGTCCTGCAGGTTTTTGAACTTTTGGCTCCTCGGGGACTGGTGCACTATTCATAGCAGCATCAAGTTGTTCCAATCGACCTTGAGACCACCATAACGGATCATATGGCATGAAACCATAAGGAGATGGCGGTCCAGGACTCAATGGATCTACACCAAGTCTCTGTCCCATTTCAAAGTTTAGACCTGTGAATGCCTTTTCGGTATGAGCTACAGGATCACTTCCTGACAAACCACTAAGATGACTCAAAACCCCGGTACACAAAGCACGATCACTGTAACCACCCTCAAGAACACTAATAATCCTTCCGTCTACCCCTGTACCTTCCTCAGCTGCAAGTTTCACGACATCTCGGGTTAGACGAGCATAAAACTCGGTTGGAACGTTGACTTTATGGCGTTGCATGCCAGAACTCTCCCACTCACTGGCGTCAAAACCAGCTGATAAGAAAATTGCAGCTTTTGGTTTTGGTCCATTAGGTGATGTTTGAAGCCTCTCGTATTGTGTGCGTAAGAAGTTTCGTGTCTTCTCGAGTAGTACCGAATACTTTGATTCGTACAGTTCCCAGAATCCTTCTTCAGTTTTCCATGGTTGTAAGTGAACATTCCAAATATTTTGACCATGTGCATTTTCAATACAAAGACTAGCATTCTTGACTTTCTCCTCGTCACCCATCTCACATGGGTATGAATTAATATCATGGAGACTGAAATATCCAATCGAAGTCTTCTTCCACGGTAATGCATTCTTAGCCAATCCATTAGCACGAGCGTTATGTTCCCAAGTGATTGCTTGAGATCCATCTCCATGATGAAGATCAAAATCAATAATAGCCGCATGAGTTAAACCGTGAGTGAGAGAAGCATGTGAAATACCAACATGGACATTATTCAACCAACAGAATCCAGAAGGATAACTAGCTGAACAATGATGTCCAGGAGGTCTTATCGCTATAAAACTTCGGCGTGGTCCGAATCCGGTAGAAGAGCCTTCAAAAACAGCATCAACACCCTCACATACAGCACCCAGCGCACCCTCCATCGCGTCCAAAGACTCCGCACACAGATAGAGATCACCCTCGTGAAACTTTGAAGGAGGTGCTTCATTTGGACCTCGATTCATCTCAGGTCTAGCCAATTCTTTTCCATTCATAGCAAGCTTGGCTTCCGCATTATCACACATAATCTTTAACTCCTCCATCCACTTTACTCCATGTACATTTGTGATCGCTTGCGAGGATAAAGACATTCGACGAGTAGTTTTGCGTATGCGAAAGGGTGTGCTAGGTACCGCAGAAGCTTCCATGCCAGGATGAAGAGGATAGCGACCCTCGGAATGTCTTTCGCCCAGTCGTACATATGCTACAGACAATCCGAGTATGCTAGCATGAATTCTTTCGGGTCTTTCGACAATTGTACTCAAACCAGTTCTTGAAGTTTTGGGCCGGGAAAAGCGATGTCCATAAACGGAGTCGTGAAGTATAACAATTGTCTCTGCAGATCTTGAGCCATCATTCTTATCTTGTAAATCCAATTCCGACTTGAAATGCGAGCTTGCGATGGATGCTGCAGTATGTCGCGGCGAGGGTTCACGCATTTCTTCCTCCCTTTGGGAGAGGAGTGATTTACTACCCATGACAGATGGTGACCTGTGTGCAAATTGTGTAGATGATCTTCTATTTATTGAATTTTTGTTTGGAGTTAGACCTCCACCGTTAAGTGAATTTAGAGACGGTTTCCGAGAGAGATGTGAAGTAGATGAGCGACGTTGGTCGAAACTCGCAGTACTGGAACTTCGGCGTAAGGGGCTTGGAAGCACGGGGCTTCTACCACTTGGTGATGGATAGAGATTTGAATGACCCCCATATGATGTAGCTCTTGTAGAAGAAGTGGGAGGTGAAATTGGAAGACCAGTTCTAGAAGCGTTACTGATTGAAAGGCGTCTCAGTGAATTTGATATTGGAGTATCGTTGTTACTTATCGCGGAGGGCAACTGGACGGGCGAAGGGCTGGCATTTCTGCCACCGTTTGGCGATGAGTATGCCATTGTAAATGAGTGAATGAGTGAGATTGTGTTGAGCCGAAAGCTCAACCTTCACTTCAATTCTTGACCCTTCACTAAATTCAATCTTCTCGTCGCGAAGTTTCCAGATAGAGAAGCTATGACGATGACGAAGGAATATGCGGCAAAGAATCCCTCAATCGCGTATTGGCGCAGATCGCGAACCCCTGCCGATTAACGGTTCAGCCTCGGTGTTCGTTATTCTATGAGAATCCAAGAGAAGAGTAATGAAAATAAGTTTCAATATTGATAGAAATATATCAGAAGTCATCTGAAGGAAACAACAAAATCTTGAATCTCAATCTCTTATGCTCGTAGAAACGCCGTTGTTTCAAGTTATATCTCTAGTTGCTTAGGGAGGGGTAAGTTTTGTTTCTTTTTTTTTTGTCAGACTGTCATTGCATGCAGTGCCCAGCAATTCTCTTCAAAATATTTTACTATTGGTAGGTACCTATCTATTCATCTCTTATTAATCCTAAAATCTTCTCTCATCACTCCATTAGATCAACACCAACTGTTCGTAATGCTTCTACTGCCCAATCTGGATATTTAGATTTCTCACCACCATGAAGATCTGCAAAGAACTTCTTAATGAAAGCGGGATATCTATCTTCGATAATAGCTTTCCTAGCATTTCTCATCAACTCCAGTTGATACCAAACATTATGCATGGTGAGTAGATGTGCACCAACAGTCTCTTTAGCAGCTAAATGGTGAACATATGCTCTGGTAATACCCAGACCGCCATCTCCTGTTCTGCAGCATATGCATCCACATCCTTCTTCCACTGGTCTAAAATCGTTCGCGTAAGATGCGTGTCGTAAATTTAGGACTCCATGTTTGGTGATTGCGTTTCCAAATCGCGCTGTGCGAGTAGGCCATACACAATCGAACATGTCTGCGCCTAATGCCACACTGACTACCAAATCTTCAGGATATCCAATTCCCATCACATATCTGGGCTTATTATCTGGCAAGAGACTTGTACATGTATTTACTACACGACAATAATCTGACTTGGCTTCACCACCACTTAACCCACCTATTGCAATACCTGGTGTCCCTCTTGCGACCATCTCTTCACAGCATTTTTTCCTCAACTCTAAATCCAATCCTCCTTGTATAATGCAGAACAGATTTTGTGTCGTCGGGTTCGCGTGTGCGGTAATACATCGATCGAGCCATCTTACACTTCTTTCCATGGCTACTTTCATTCTTTCGGCATCGGGGGAGGTAGTAACTAACACATCATCGAGTTGCATAATAATGTCGCTTCCTATGGAATTTTGAAGAGACATTGAATGCTCAGGCGTGAGTAACATAGGGGATCCATCATGCGGACTCAAAAATCGGACACCTTCCTCTGTGATATTGGCCAATTTTAGGAGACTGACCATTTGAAAACTATCGACATTATGTTAGTTTTCAAAAGGGGTGTGTAGGTTGATGCGTAGACAAAATTACCCTCCACTATCTGTTAATATATTGTGGTTCCATCCTTGTAACTTATGCGCTCCCCCAACTTTGTCTAAAACTTCCTGCCCTGGTTTCAAGCCTAGGTGATAGGTGTTGTTCAAGCATAAACGACAACCTGTGTCTTCCAGTTGTTGCGGAGTCAACCCTTTTAATGATGCTTGTGTGGCCACTGGCATGAACATGGGTAATTGGACTGGCCCATGAGGTAAAGTCAAATTGGCGGCTCTTGCTTTTGTTGTCTAACATATTTGTAGAAATTAGAGAGCGGTGATGAAGAGGAAGAAAAGTAATGATAGCTTACAGAGCAACGAGCCAATAACTCGAAGGTTAAAGCCGAGGGCATAGGAGCTTTTGAAGCCGCCATCATATCTGGATTTCTTTTTTTTTTTTTTTTTTGTTAATTTTTGTTTAAATTCGATAATCTTATAAAATGTCTCGGAATATTTCTTGAAGGAGTTACAAGTATTATTAGATTTGAACGTGGATGGTGGCCCTGGTGGGGTATTGATCACAGCCTTGCCTATGCTCGACACGAGGCTAAGGTTATACCCGGTATGCGGGAGTTGTACAGAGTCGACGCTAGAAGGTATTATAGACTGGGGTTCCCGGAAATTCCCCCTTGAATTCTCCGTTGATAGTACTTGATATCTGGGTGGGAGGGTTCTCACGTGGTTCGATATCTCAGCCTTCCACAGACTACTTAGGTAAGCAAGTAGAGGGAACCTGGTGAACCTGGTGAACCTGGTAGACCGGTCAACTTCAACAAACACTCATCAATATATACCAGGACTTTCTTATTATACCTATATTCTTATTATATTCTTAAATTACCTCGCGATGATTATATCATGCCTTCTTCTATATAAATCATTTCGTAAATATCACCCCATTGTGATTAATTATCAAAGGTTTTTCCCTGTTGATTTTTTTCCCTTTCACGAGTGAAGTGTGAAATATGTAAAAAGTCATAATATCAACCAATCCTCTCTTAGTAAGATAAATCCATCTCCACCAACATCAGACCACTTTCTTCTGCCCAACAAGGATTTCACCACACAATCAACACAAACAACACAACAGGAACGTCACTTACCTTCCTCATATACGCCGGTCCCTCAACCCTTACTGAATATAGACCATTATGCGGTTAAATTGAGTGAAGCCTGGTTGATCTCACACCTTAATCGAGTGATTTATATCAAGAATCTTTACCATTTTCGTCTTGGCGACTAGATACGATGGATGTATTTGCTAGGATGGAAAGTTCGACTCTTTCACACTTGGGCATCGTTGATCAATCAAGTGAAGTCTAGATTAATATCAGCTCACAATATCCATATTTCATTTTGTTGATCGGGTTCCTGTCCTAAGTGAGGCTTTCCCATACACATCATACACATCATACACTTAACTTTATATCTTTCCTTCCTTAACCTTCCGAGGTCTCTTCTTGCATGTGTCAATTCGGGAAGTTGTCAGGAAAAGTTTGTATAATATTTATTCAGTCGACTTCTACTCCATCTCAACTTGACTTTACTTCACTTCGCTTTACTTCTAATACAACATTGCAAGGCTTGAAGGCTAAATGACATTGCTCTCTTAAGCGCTCAAGATTGACCGTATAATCATTTAATAGTAATAGGCTCTTCTTTCCACACAATCCCTTCACATTCAGCCTTTTCAAAAGATTTCTATTTACTTGTTCTTTTTCAACATGTTCACCTCTTATATCAAAAACAATCCATCAATGGATCCTCAAGTTCTACGAATGATTTACAGACCACAATCTACCATGATTTCCCCATCTCAAGAACCACTCAACGATTTCCATCTTTTCCCGAAACTCTTACCTGAACTTCGAATTCTCGTCTGGCGATATGCCTGCACAACTCGCACCGTCGAAGTTCGATATGATCCTACTATCGATCGATGTCGTTCGATAACTCCACCTCCTGCAATCCTCCAAGCTAATCACGAATCACGCACCGAAGCTTTACGTGTATATACACTTTCTTTCGGAACAAAGACTTCCGAACCAAGAATTTATTTCAATCCTTACATCGATGTTCTTTACCTTCCTCGGCATCGTGCAATGGGATATGATGAAACCCTTCGCGATTTTCGTACCTTTTTAAATACACCAGAACTTCTCGATCATGTCAAAGCTATTGGAATCGATCATGTGGATGTAGAGATCAAGAGACCTTGGGAATCATACAATAAAGCGACATTAATGCGATCTTTTCCGAATCTCGACTTGGTTAAACTTATCATTAGAGAAGAAAGAAGAACGTGCCCAAGATTGGATGAGAATTTCGAATTTGTAGAACCGAGAATGGAACCAGAGGATATATTAAGAATATGGGTGGATTTCAAACAAAGTTTCGTGAGGGAGGAAAGAACTCTAAAAGAAATCGCTATGGGTCTCGAGAAGGAATATATGGGGTGGGCCTTACCGACTGTGAGGGTACAGACAAAGGTTAAAAAGGGAATTGTATAAAAGGTTTATGGCATGGAGTAATTGGGTATTAATTGGTGTGATTATATGGTATACCCAAAGCATTGGCGCACACTTAGAATGGGAATAGAATGAAATTTTGGGCGCAAGCAGTGTTTCTTTGATGATTCATATTATTTATCTGTTACTTTCCTTTTTCCTTTATGTTCTTGGCGCAAATATGGAACGTACATGAATGGGAATGATAATTGGCATTTTCGATGAAACGGGAGAAAGACTATCGGTAGCAATTGCCTGTCAGAGGCAGTCATGTCAACAGTGGGCGAATAATATTCGAGGCCTTGATATACAATTCAAGACATACATATCAAGATGTATATATATATCAAAAAAGTCAAAGCAGTATCCAGAACTCAAAACTATCCGCAGAATATGTATGTATATACGTCCAAAGACAAAACTAAACCTACCCCGCGCGATGAATGAGATGATGTTATATTCAGATGTGATCAGGTTTTCCGTCTTTCTTTCTTATATGTATGTATATTACACATAATACCTGCACTGGAGTCTAGCAGTGACAAGCAAAACTTACTAGGTATTTCTCTACCGCCCGATACGAAGCTTAATAGTTACAGTTATATATCTACCTAGTACCTACATATCAAATCTATCTCGAAATATACATATATCCCCCCGCACCCTGCTCTCCGCTTTCCGCATTCCGTATACTCATACTATCACACTACATCACACTACATCACATTGAAAACCCCTCGATTTGAATTTTAGAGTGTTCTTTTGAGAAGCTGTTTTGAAGTCGTTCTGTTCTATTTATGAGAGGGAGAGAGAGAGAGAATGGATTATATGTTTGTATATGTATATGGTGTGAAGGTTTGATGATTTGATGGTTGATGGGAGGTTTGATGGGAGGTTTGTGGTTTTTTGGGGGGGATGGAGATGGGTTGTGAGATTGGGGTTGGAGATTGAGGATTGAGGGTTGGATATGGGGATTGGGGATGTAGGTTTGAGGGTGGAGATTTGGGGTTGGAGATAGGGATGGTGGGTTTAGATGGTGGGTTTGGATAGTAGATTTGTGTGGTAAATATAGGTTTTGAGCTTATCGTCTATGAAAAGGGTAGAGGAACGGAGAGGATAGAGGGTGTGCGCGTATCTGAGTGAAAGAGAGAGAGAGAGAGAGAAAGAAAGAATCATGAATCTAGTAGAGGTTGGTGAGTTTACACGATATGAAGGGGAGCAAAGAATATGATTATACCATTCGATGGGATTCCAAGCAGAGGAGAGGGAGATTGATAGGCTTGGAGAGGATATGAGAGTTGGAAAGATGGAACGCAAGGGGAATGATATAAAGATAGGTTAGGACTTGAAGTGATTATTAAATCAGAAGCTCGACTGGGAAAAATAGGAGTTGGGAGTGAGGAGTTTGATTTTGATTTTGGGGATGAAGTACAGGATATAGAATGCAAGGGAAATTTGTTAGGGATATGAATCAAAAAGATTTTATGAATTGGATAGATGCTACTAGAACGGAAAGGAGGACCAAAAGGAGAGAATCAAGAGAATATATGATATAAGAGGTGAATGAATATACGATTTGCGAAAGCAATGCAAAGCGGTCGTGAGGTGAGAATGGACATAGAATTGTGAATTGTGTATTATGGTGGGTGTGTTGTATTGTATATAGAGAGTTATTCAGTCACTCGTAAATATATATCTATATCTTATAATTATAACTCATATGTTTATTCACATTCCAATAAGCCACTCCAACATATTCACTCTCTCAAAATACACTCCTATTACACCGCATGCTATCTCGCAAATCCCCAGATTCTAGAGCTATATAACCAACCTATTTATCTAGATAATCAAACACAAGATACCATCAGAAGACGACAATCCAAACACCCGTTCGTCTGTAGAAAGATTCATTCACAGTCTCGAAAAGTCGTCATGCGACCTTCTGATATATGAATAGATCTAATTTTTTTGTTTTCTGTTTTTTGTCTTTTGTCGATATTCTACTTCCCATTCAGGCCTTTATATTCTCCATAGCTAGTTTACTTATAAGGCTATAATTCTATAACTCTACTCCTTTTAACACTTAACATTTATAAACCCCTAGTTCTCTTCTTTTTCTCTCTTTATCCACTCTCCCATTATCGCCTCTCACCTCTCCTATCCATATAAAATACTCCAGAAAAAAAGATCTTCAAGATCTCCAACACAACACCCAAGCCACCCTCTCCCTCCCTCCCCTCAAAAACAACAATCTAAGAGTTGAGGCCCCGGCTTATCGCACATTTGAGCAAGATTAGAGTAGCCACCTAATTTCGTACACCTTATTTTAAAAATTGAATTATTATTCTAAAATTCATTATTTTCGACTCAAATTCAAAATTATTATTGAATATAATCACAAAAATAATAATCATAAATTTCATCAAAATTGGCATACTCCTCGATATTCTAAAGTCATTCAAGCTAGGATTGATAGAAAATTCTAGGGATGGATTGCTTCAAATTTAAATATACCATAATTTACCATAAGAAATATAATTAAATCTAATTTAACTAAAAAAACTCGAAAAAGAAAGGTTTATCAAAAACTTATAATAACTATTAAAGAGATTTATCAAATTATAAAAACAATTATTAAAAATTGGAATAAAAGGAGGATAATTTTTGAATAGATTAAAAATATGCTTGGCATTAAGATTTTGGTATATATAATTCAAAAGAAATTATATTAATATAAATATAAAAGATATATAATATATTCTAAACTCTTTATTTTAAGGATATAAGTAAAAAAAAGACTAGATTTTATGTATAGGTATTATTGATGGGGAATTAATAATATTGTTATTATTAGATTAGGAGAAGGGGATTGAAGGTTAGTTATATAATCGAATAAAAGCACTTTCGAATTAGGAAAAGTGGATAGAATATAGATTATTAAATAAATTAATGAAAAGAGATATACTAATTGTATTAAATCAGTATATTGATTAGAAAGAGTATTAATAATAATATAGAATACAATCAACTAAAACTATAAATCTCTATTAATCTTCTTAAAAAAGCTTAAGGGTAATAAAAATATTATCTTCAAAGCATATATACAATAAATCCTTAAACCTATTATATTCTTATTATTCAACAAACTAAAATCTAAATATATATTTATAAAGAACAATTCTAAAATACATTCTAAATATATCTATAAAGCTTGATTAAAATATAATATATAAGACTTTGATTAACTACTTTTCTCTTCAAATCTTAATTCAATTAAAAAAGTATAATAATAATTAAAAAAGGAATTAAAAAAAACTATTATTTATATCTACTTCCATAAAGAAATTGAAATATGAATTACAAACTTTTTGGAATAGAATGGATCCCTTAGATTTCAGGTTATATACTAAAAGATTGACTTGCAAGATTGAAAATATAATTGAAATATAAGGATTAATTACTATTTATTAATATAATACTCAAGTTTTATAAGATTATATTATATAATTGATTTATTATTAAATTTTAAAAAATTAGACCGAAAAATGGGTGGTGTGCGATAAGCCGGGGCCTCAACTCTTACATCTCTATCCAAACCACAAATTCCAAATTCCAAATTCCAAAACCCAAAACCCAAAAATCAAAAATCAAAAAAACCCCATGAAAATATCCTTCCTCTTACAAGAAACAATCTAATATCTAAATAATATCAATCTCAAGTTTCATACTCACACTCACACTCATACACCTGAACTGAAAAAGTATCCAAACAAATCACAAATCACAAATCACAAGTTACAAGTTACAAAAACAAACACCATCACACTCTCACAACTTTCAAAAACCAATGGGCTATCTACATAGCAGGTACCTATAGGATACATCAATTTCGATATAATTTTGAAATAAATACAATTATGATTCCATACGTTGATCATGATATCGAAATACCATGGGATACCTACCTACATTCAGAATCTCGCTTGTAGATCTCGCTCCATAGGGCGTAAAGCTTTGTGTGATATTTTATATTCAGACCACCTTTGATAGATTCACTTCCCCCACCCATCTCCTCCCATCTACTTCCCCATTATTCTCGTCTAAAAAACAACAAAGATAATTCTGCTCTCTCCGCTCCCCACGCAAGAACTTGTACACCTCGCAAAAATCAATCATTCCCACCATCCCAATCCACCTACCCAATGAGTAATAGGTAAACCCATGAAAAAACATCAACAGCGAGTTTCGAAAGTGGCATTTATCACTAGGTAGTACAGAGTAAAACCGCTTGATATGAACTGATAACCAACCGAGAAAAGAGGCGAGCAGTGAATGAAAACTATCAATAGGAGAAGAGGATATGAGGAGAGGAGAGATGTATCGGATAGTAGAGGCCTCTCGAGACATGTAGCATCATATTGTGGCTCGGAAGCAGAAGGTTTGGTCGATTCGGCTAAGTAAAGCCAGTTACATTCTTTGAGGTCTTTAGCCTGTGTAGGCGTAAGACGACAGGGAGACTACTCCCAAAAGATCAAACAAGAGGGCTAGTGTGTCCAGCTCTCCGGGAATATAAGCAAGAATCTGTAAATTAATTTGAATCAAGATAAATGCTTTCATATATCAATCAAAGTTACAAGCAAATTTAACGAACGAAGTGAGGTAGGTTAATATTCCATATAAATTCATTACCATAACCCTAAAGGCTACCACCTTTCATTTGTTCTCATTTCCCAACCCAACACAGCATTACCTCTCACCATCTCACTTCCTTAAACTCAAAGCCCATTTAACGGCTGGAACTTCTTCATCTTCTCTCAAAATAGGTGGCTCAGGTCCCACGGGTGCGATACTGAATGGATTGATCTGTGTTTGAGTCAGCATGAAATTCGCCTGCGCAAAGGGAAAGAAGGAACATACTTGAGTGTGACTTTTTGTATAATGGTTTTTAATGTGGGTAAACTCAGTGGTCTCTCCAAAGGCTGGAACATTCCAATACAAATTCCTTAACCACCTATGGATATATGGGTATCCTGATCGAATATCTCGGATATTTGTCTTTTAAACTCATTAGTAATTGTCTCGCTTGATCAAAGTGCCGAGCTGGCTGGGTGGATGTATACCTTAAAGTGTTGTACGTAAACGACGTCAAAACGAATAACGGTAGTGAACAATCTCACATCCGCTTCGGTAATATTTTTTCCATAGTAATACGGTCCCTCATTCTCACTCAGATGCTTCTCAACCCGATCCAAGGATGCGAAGAGTTGAATAACAGCCTTCTCGTATGCTTCCTGCTTAGTGGCGAAGCCAGATTTATAGACTCCATTGTTAATATCATTGTATGTCCATTCATTCGTGGCTTCGATTTCTTTCTGGAGATTGGCAGGAAAGAGATCGACATTCTTGTATTCTGGGGCAATGATGTCATCGAACTATCTCAATGTCAGTGCCTATTACCCAAAGTTCCTCGGAAAATAAAACAAAAAGTCCAAACCTACCTCAGTGTAGAACATCCTAATGATTTCACTACTCTCATTACTGACAATCTTTCCTTGCTTCACATCATAAAGAGTGGGGACCGTGAATCTCCCAGTATATTCCGGATCGACTTGAAAATAGACATCTCTCAAATGCGCAAATCCTTTGTGGGCTTCAACTGGAGAAGCTGTAACATTCTCACCAGTGACATCATCTTCAGGAGTCGCGAATCGCCATCCTTTTTCTGCCATATGCCAATGTACACTGGTATATGGAATGATATCCTCAAGACCTTTAAGTTTGCGCACAATCAATGCGCGATGAGCCCATGGGCAAGCATAAGATACCTAATTGGGTTTATGGTTAGTTGGGAAATGCTCGACCTCAAACGAGTGGGTGGAAGTGGGAAACAGGGAAGGTATATTTACATAAAGATGATATCTTCCTTTCTCCGGTGGAAATTCTCCTCCTTTCTTAATGAAATTTCGAAATTGAGATTGTCCTCTCTTGAATTCTCCCGTTTTATCATTGGGTGCTACCCAATTTGTGATCTTTTGTTCGGCCTATATATTTCTCGTGTCAGTAAATGTCTATATCATGAGAGCTTAAAGTCAACAAACCATATTTGTGGATTTACTAGAACTGAAAGCTCTTATTGGTAAACTTGAAAGGGTTGGAAGCTGTGCAGATAATTGACGAAGTCTAGAAAGCATGAATTGAGTTGAATTGAGGTAAATTGAAGGGAGAGAGGTGACGTTGTTCCCCTTTATATATTGTGATACAAAGGAAGAATGGGAAGCTTGAAGATGGATGGCGGGGTAGAGATTTGTCATTGATTGGAGCTATATCGGTGGATCCTTGCTAAGCTGCCGAGTCTGCTTACATTTCTTCTGCAAAGCACTTACTAAGTTTACACAACACAACACAGACACAAGCCGGCCTCTTTCAAAGAGCGAAAAGAGCGAAAAGAGCGAATTTTCGTGGATTTGTAGGATTTTGGTAATTACTGACCAAGCAAATTTTGATCAAAAAAAAAAAAGGATCAAGAGTTTGTCAATCAAAAATAGAGCATGTATTTTACCTCCTTCACGAGTCGAAACCTTCATAATACTTTTCAAAGAATTTCTCCTTGTATTTCGGAAGAGGCATAACTCACTGACAATTGAGCTTTTCGCCCCCTCAATATAGACTTATCAGGGAAACTCAAAATCCCGTAGTAATAATCATAATCACCTATGTAGCTATTCAGACATTGTTGGTCATTATTCAACACATTATGATTTGTATAAGGTACTTATAATTTGCTAAATTCATATTTCGCGTGCTACTCTAATGTTAGTCCCATGAAATGTATGCCCCTTCATCTTTGTGTCGTTAATTGCCCAACTTCATCATAATATAAGGAACTTCTACATCTTCTTCATCTTGATCTTCCACAACAATTTCGAAGATCACCGTCTTTTGATGACTTGGGATAGGCTTCTTGGAAATGAGCTCAACAAGTTCGCTGAGCTTCAAATTCAATCGATCCGCCAACTTTGCCTTGGGGAAAAAGCTGGCATACAACAGACTGACGCCTGAACTCAACATAGTGATATCGAGACCCTTGTTCTTTGAGAACTCATCGATGAGTTCTTGAAGAGTAATATCCTCAACTTCAAATCGATCCCAGAGTTTGTCAATAGAGACTTCTCCTGTGTGACCTTTGTATGTAGCCTTTGGACTAGCGATAGGTTCACTGAATCCAAAGAAAGGTAAGGCTAAGTTGACGAAGCCATTCTTGTATTGCTCAATGTCATCTTTACCATCGACAATCTTGTAAAATTCCATGATTACCAATCCCGTGGCAAGAGCAGTAGTGGTTGCAATAGCGGGAATAATCTTGCCAGCAATAAACTTTGTCTTATGTCTATCGGCAAGCTCAATCTTGTAATTCTCGGCACGCAAGTTACTAGCAGCGGTGATAAAGTCGATATGATGGTTTGTGTCATCATCCTTTTCAAACTCTACTGGTGAGAGTTTCAAACCAGCCAATGATTTAGGCGATGGAAGCTTATCCATGAGATTTTGAAGCTCCGAGCTATCATCGAAAGAGCTGCTTCCAGCATTTGGATCCTACGATTGTCAGACATGCTGCATAGTGTAATGAGAAAATAGAAACTTACAGGTTCACTGTCATCAGCTTGAATCTTGACGGAAGAGCTGGGAGAGAAATCGGGGATGATCATGTTATCAAGAACTTTTTGAATTGTGCTTGAGTTGAGACCAGTGGTATTGATTCCATAGTTGAAGGCATGAAGACTAGCACCAGCGACAACGAAATCCCAATGATATTGGTTCTTGGGGTCAAACTTCAATGGATCTGGGGCACGTTTTGGTCCAGACCAAAATGGTGTACCGCTTGATGTAGTTGAATCCTTAGGGAAGTTGTACAGTAATTGTTGAATGTTATTATTGTATTGCTTCTCGAATTGTAAACGAGCCCATTTGATACAGTCCTCAACAGACAATGGCTTATCCTCAACCAAGAAATCTAGAATCGTTTCTAGGGTTGCTTTTTCTTGGCCACCCTGTTTCAAAGTTTTATCAAGGTAATCTGGTTGAGTGAGGTATAAATTGACAGTTTCTGCTGGCTTGACAAAGTATGATTCGAACAATTCTCGAGACCAAGCAATGGTATGTTCAATCTTGTTGGGGAAACTTCGAAGTGTACACATGGGGAAAGATTGCTCGGGAGGATCTTGAGAGCTGGAATATGACTCGGTCAAATGAGGGAGAACAACCTGCGTATTACACTTAGTACCAAGAGTTCCACTCTCCAACAAAGGCTTCCGGAAAAAGACACAACGACGATCAACGTAAGTTCGTGCATCAACATTATCGAGAGCGTTAGTAACACCGTCAAGTTGGTACCAGAATTGCTCGTTGAAGATATGTTCGGTATCTTGACCAACTCGATCACGCATGGTAACAATATGACCTTTAAGATCAGGATTCATTGCTTGAACTGCCTCAGCAGCACAATCACTCTTCAACTTGCCAACATCTTTAGTTCTGAAGAGGAATTGACGGTTGAGATTGCTCTTTTCGATCGAATCCATATCAGTGACAAAGATCTTGCCCTTTGGGCCTGTGGCTAAACCAATCATGGCCCAATTCTTTAACATTTCGCAACCAATGGCACCGGCACCAACCAAGAACTGGGTGATGTTGGAAAGCTTTTCTTGGTATTCTTGACCAAATACAGCAATTTGACCATCGTATCGAGAATTGAGGGGTTTGCATGTTTCCTCGGTCCGTTTGAAACTGGTAGGAAGGGACTCCAAAGAGTCGAAGTACATCCATTGATTGATTGGGTGAAATTTCCCAGAAACAGCCTTCAACACTTCCTGAGCTGCAAGGCCACCGAAGAAAGCTGCCATTGGGTTCAAATCACCTTGAGCTTGGAAACTCAACTCGGCGATCAACTTCTCATCAACTTCAATGTCCAGCTTTTGGTTCTTGATGAAGGTCTTAGCAGACTCGGTAATGATTAGGGAGTCTTCCTTATTCATCGGTCTTGGAAGGCGACCTTGAGATTCTTGGAAACCATGAAGAGCCTGGAAACCGACATGGAGCTGCTGAGGGCGATCGAATTTTGCGTAGTCGGAAATAAGATGTTCTGGGTCCTTCAAAGCAGCAGACAATGGCTTGAAGTCGATGAATTTTGGCATTTTGACCTGCTGATACATTCCACCCTTCTTGTACTGGCCAAGTCCAGTAACGTCTCCGATAGAGAAAGTGTATGGCCCCTTCACTGTTACCTTTCGAGGTTCTGCACCGTTCAAAGCTTCTAACCCTTCCAGTTCGGTAAAAGTAACGTAATCTCCATCCTCAAGGCCATGTCGTGTTTCATCCAAAGCGGATACTAAACCTTCTTCATCGATTCCAGCAACAATGCCGCTAACTGGAGCTTCGCCAGTGGGGTCAAGAACAGTGAACTTATCACCAAAGTCGCAAAAGATTGATCCAAAGAGACCAAATGTATCCGCAACTACCAGGTAAATTCCCTTGCTGTGTAAATAATCGCCAATTATGATTTGGTCCTTGAGGGGAGTGTTGGTCAGGACAACGACTTGGTATCGATCGAATTGAGTGAGGTCCTCTGTTAAGCTGCGGGAGCTAAGTTAGCAAGATTATAGCCTCGCGCCAAAAATGAGTTACTAACCTTGATGACTTGTGAACGGAGACCGGTGTGTATGCATTTAGCTCAGCAACGCGTGGTGCGGTCACTTCCGCTCTTGGCTTCCCAACATCTTCAGGATGTAAAAAGAATTGAGATGAAAGGTCGGAAATGGCAGCGGGCGCAGGATCATATAGGGTAAGACTTTTGACACCTGCCAAAGCAATATTCTTTGCAATCTCGACACCGAGTCCCTTGAGTCCCACAATCAGCACATTCGAAGCACCCATACGCTTCATGGCCTCATGTCCTAGAACATAAAGTTGTCTGCTGTAAAGCGATTCATCGATCTCGTTATTGCCAACCACCGACTCATCCACCTGCATCTTAGTCTCCATGTCTTTATCTTTTGTGTGTATGGCCTAGTGAGAAAGTAAGTATGTTGGTTTGTGCAATAGTAGAAAGAAGATGATTTGAGAGAGCTTGAAGCTCGAGCTTCAAGATAGCTGATGATTTGGAGGGGTAGCTTTCACTTACCGTCATCATCTTTTTATCTGGCCTCTGAGAATCCGCGTTGGAGAGTTTACGTTTTCCCAGGTTACCAGCACCGTTTAAATCTACTGTTGACGGAATGTTGGCGTTTGATAAAGGGTTCGAGAAAAAGGGTGTTATTCCTCTGGCTCACTAGATTGTACCAACTTAAGGCTCGGATCGTGAGTAGTTGGATATTGTGGGGTTATCGCCTTGCGAGGTGCAGTATTACCTAGGTAGAGGAAACTGAGCTAATAACGTTCTCGAGAAGAAGTTGAATGTTCGATGATTGGGATTCACTGTATTTTGTGGTTTGTGGTTTGTGGTTTTTTTTGATTCAGAAAAGAATGGATTGATGAAATGTCAAATGGTTTTGATCAATGTTTATTATTGATAAGAATTGGAATTGGAAGCAGCGGGTTGCTTACAGTATCAAAATGCCTTTCGCCTCGCACAATCCACCACCTCCCTAGCCACTGAGGCTCTAGCACTGACCTGACAAATGGAAACATCTAGAGTAAAAATGACATAACTACGCTGGGCCTGTACATACTGTAGTAGTAGGAATCTACGAAAAGGACATTACTTGATAGGGAATTATATCCACACACGAGGATATCCTCGAGTATCAATATTTTGAGATCACTCGCTGTATATACAATATATGGAATTGCTATTTTAATGTTACAAATCAAGCACGTTTCAAGATTCTGTACAGTGAGTGTACTGTTTGGAAATTCTTAAGGGTAAAACAATGAATGGTAGGTGATGGAAATCATTTCATCCCACAGAAACTTATTTCAGTAGATGAGTCAGGCGTGCATTAATGATCTAATTTTTCGAGTTCATAATGCTGGTTGGAAGAGTCCTGTATTCTCTACCAACGCTGAAATCAACCCTTTCTGACATGCGTGACGCCCAATGAGTGAACCGACGGCATCATATATTCATACTACCTCCTAGTTAGGTAGGCAAATACACAGCCCCTCGTCACCCGCATTCTGAACCAATCTATACGAGCGATACAAGAGGGGTGGTATCCGAACCCTGTTTGTAAGGGTGCGTTGCAGATTTATCAAGTTCACCATTCAAGTATCTCGTCTGTTCACTCCTGATGTAATATTCATAGGTTTGATGACCATCACAAAGTCCCAAGTGCATGGTGATTTATAGAAACAACGTGGTATTCATTCTCAACTTAGTGGGCGGCTCACATATGCCACCACCCAATATGTATTCATTCACTCGTTCGTTCGTTCTTCGTGAGCCTGAGCCTTCTCGCCTTAATAGCGGTCTATGGTCGAAATTTTTTGAATATCGCGTGTTTAACCGATCTTTTTGAGCTCAACGTCACTGTAAAAATGGTTAGTCGAGGACTTTGTAGATCTGGTGTTAAATAGATTTGAGACTTACAAGATAAGAGTTGAGTTGGCTGGGATGACAGGGGGGAAACCACTACAGAAACAAAGATCAGCAATGCTGTTCGTCCACACTGTGTTGCCGTCTTTTTCCGAGGACAACAGTTGTTAAGTCGACCGCTGGAAAGAGGAAGAATCGGAAAGACGGGGGATTTGAATCATCTTACCGGGCACCATAGGCATAATCACTGTGAAGATATATTAGCAAGGCCATTTAACAACACCATTGGTAGGTATAACTTACGGAGTAATGTCCAAAGTAGCCTTCTCACCGAGCTTCATCTGAGTAACACCCTCATCCCAACCTAATACCAAGTCAATAAGCATTCAGTGTCACTTTTATTGGATAGCGGGGTAAAATACCCTTGATGACTTGGCCGACGCCGATTTGAACAACGAAATCACCACGGCCGGCAGAGGAATCGAATCTGTGAGTCCGTTTGTTAGTATACAAGTGAGGACACAAATTGAGCTTCTAGAGGCACTTACTGGTTGCCCTTTTGAGCCTCGAGAGTATCTCCCTTGGAAGTGTCCTTCAACCATCCAGTGTATTCAATGGTGACGGTCTGTCCATTCGAAGGACTTGCGCCAGAACCCTCTTTTATGATATGCTTTGTGACACCCATGATGACGTTTGTGCGAGAAAAGTTTCTGTATTGGAATTTGGCTTGAGTTGGAATTCTTGTAGTTGATAGTCTCAAATGTGAGAATATATATGACATGTGGAAAGAAGATCGTAGAAAGAAAAGCAGGAGTTTCGAAGGGTGAAAGGGGGTGAATGGCTTTATGTAAATTTTTAGATCAACGGTTGCTGCGGGGGTAGATTTCACAGGTTTCCGGTTGTGGGTAAATATTCGAAGGAGTGGTGGGGCTCAAAGAAAGAAAAGCTCACCAGGGCACAGTTCACAGTTCACAGTTCACAGTTCACAGTCGAGAGTTTACAACAGCCATGTAAGCAAAGCAATTGAAGCCATCTCGTAATGTCCCTGGTTAGGTATTCACTAGGTCGACACGGCAGGTAGATTCTTTTTTGATTTTAGCTTTAGTTGTGGTTTTCCGCCTTTGGTATCTGTCCCAATCTCATAAACTCCCAGACTCCTCACCCCTCCCCCTCCCCTTCCCCATTCCTTCCACATACAATACCTAGGTAGTTTTAGTGATAGTCCAACATATATTAATGCAACTTGGAACGTATCAAGAACCACGTCTGCCTCCGACAAGGGTTTGCAGTATGTAAGTGAATGTTTCATCCAAGACAAAGTATCAAGCCATACATCATATATGCACACTACATCTTACACTTTACACCTTACCTTCAGACCGATCTTTGATATGATCCAATATAGTTAGATGACAACCTTATAAACTCCATCTATCCGCTTTTCCGGTAGCAAGCCTACGACATCTATCACATCTGTCACATCCATCGAGGTCTAGTCCTCCAAAAAAGGTAATTCATTATGTTTATCGCATCTACCGCCGAAAAGTCCACCTCAGCTTAGCTACTTCTGATATATGTAGGGTAGAGGGACTAACCTTAGAATGGAGTTTTTCCTTTTCTCCCCACGCATGGACATGGGATGGGATACTTGGTGTTTTCTCAGTGTTACCAATAGCTTCCTATGAGATGTCAGACTTTACGAGGAAAAGCATGGGGGGGGGAGAAGGGGAGGGGAGGGGGACTACAGCTTTCGAGCTCTTTCCAGAAGATCAAAACAAAGCATCCGAATGGCGTGTGCAAGGGAAAACATGTAAGAGAAACGGAGGGTTTCATAATTGGATCTCCGGATGATATGATGATACTGATTGAAGTTGCTCGTACCAAATATAAAAAGCAACCATCCAGCGATAACTGACTACTAGTTAATTATCAATTTGCTAAAAGAGTTTTGCCAATTGTGGGCAGATCATTCATCATTCATCCTCATCTTGCCTTCATGATATTTTCAAAGGGTCTCGGCATGTCGGTATCATCTTAGCGGTGCCTCTAGATGCAGCTCATCCTATTTTCGAACGACTTTGAAGTCAAGTCACCCAGTCAATGTTCAGATATAACGCCTCTTATTCACAGTAGCCTCACGAATTATAACGTCTAGCTTATGGCGGCTCGATTCTTCCAACACCTAAACATGAAGTTGTACTTGGCATGCTTTTACCAACATTTGTATGATCTGCAACAACTTTGATCTCTGGAGACGAGAAGCCAAAAATCCTACTTTCTTCTTTAACAAGGCGATGCTATGATATTCTGCCAAAAGGAAGTCTACTTTCTCCTTCATAGTACGCTTCTGACTGCATATCCTTTACTAATCGGAACTTTGGTGCGTGGGAATCTCTTTCCCACATAGACTGATCCCTATACAATCTGACGTCCCGCATATTTTCAGTGTAACGAGATGTCAGGTTTGAAAAAAATGATCGATCTCAAGGACAAGTTATCCTCACAAGTACAAGCATATACTTGACCCGAATGAAGGTCTGAAACCTTTGATGAACTCCAGTAAATGATATACGGGCAAGATATTCCGGCTGATCTATCGGGTACAACAAGATCTCCGTCGGCAACCAAGTCGGGCCGGATAAGAAAGAATGCCATCATTGACACCACCACACCTGATGTCTCTCTAGAGTCTATACAATGTTGATTATTACCGTAGTTTCAGATTGATCGAAATGATGCCACTCTTGCAGGTCAGTGCCTGCTTTTAATGAGGGGTATCAGCTTGATGTATTGATTTTCTCAAAAGCTCTCCCTCTCATTGCCGCCGTCAAACTTACATGTGTGCCAAATCATGTGACAGTTTCGACCTGATGATTCCATTTCGAGAAAGCCTTGCATCAGATCCACCAAAAAATGCATTATACCAGACTCTGGCATACCGGTCCATCGAAAGATACATTGAGGCGGGATACCCGTGAATAATGATGTTTGGAATTTCCTCATCTTAAAAGTTTGTTTTTGAATTGCATAGCATACTCCTTATCTTGCCCAGAAAATTCGTTCTAATGAACCAAGGTAGAAGTCTGGAATCATCTGCGATCTAAGATGTTGACACCTTGGCTGCGCTACCACACTCATGTCGAACGGAGATATATTTGCATCATTCTTTTTTTCGGTACCAACAGTATGAGCAATCAAGACCCCACTAAGTAACCTCTTAATTATCCGTTTTTATCCAACCAATGTCTCTACACGAATATCTCTGGCTAAGCATTTGAAGACGCAAACACGTCGGATTGCATGTCAAGGTTACACCAAACCAAGAATTCCAAGTCTCTTCTTCACATTTTACGTGTTACGGGTTCTAGATTTTGACTTCAATTTAGACACTCATTCCATCGTCAACTTCATATCCACATAAATGGATACCCTATACGTAAATGCACTTATTCCTTGTCTCTTCCAACCACATCCCCGATCCTACAAATATTGCTGCAGCATTGAAGCACGTCAAGATGCATCATTGTTCCCCGGTGGAGCATCCATCTCATTTTAGTCCATACAGCGTTCCTGGAGTCTGAATTATGGTTTGATAATGAAACTTATATATATGATCTTTTATATTGGAATCCAATAGCATTTCAGGAGATTGTAACTGTTCATCTCGTTCCTAAGTTTGGACGACATGAATGGGAACTCTGACCTCGTTCTCATTTTCACACTCGTTTCCTCTCTTCTCCAATCTGGAAAACTTCTTTGCTGCATCTACTCTTCATCTTCACTTCTACCACTTGTCAGACATATATGACTATAATATAAACATATTCCTCTCACTATAAACCCTAGCCTGCCTATAGTTATCTGGTAACACAATGTGATAGCATACAGTTTTATGGTACTACACTACCTCTCCCATCTCTCACTATATGTGAAATATCTAGCCCAGCTTTTATACTTTATATTCCGTTTCGTTTCGTATCGTGTCATGCCATCACATCCTATCCCGCACCATCTCATCATGCATCATAACACACCTTTCAGAAGCAATAACTACATAACCATACAATACATTTGCCCAAGAACCATAACATCCCAGCCCAGATCTTTATAGCGTTAGGTCAAATCTTCATGTGATATGTACCTATATGTAGAACAAAAACTTGGGAAGTAGATTAGATTGGGCTTGTTCGTTTGGTATATATGGTATATATGATTCAGTGATATTCTTGTGGCTGTATGGTGTGTTGGGTGATGAGGATGGAGGGATGTGTGGGTGGATGGGTGGATGGGTGGATGGGTGGATGGGTGGATGGGTGGATGGGTGGATGGGTGGATGGGTGGATGGGTGGATGGGTGGATGGGGAGGAGGGATGACAGAGAAAAGAGATGTTGTTGTAAGTGAGGGGACCTAAAGGAGGTGAAAGATAGAGTAGAAGATAGACTGGAACCATATACGCGCTTTCTATACAGCGAAAACCGTTCTGTGGCAAGAAAGAGACGGAGTAATAAGGATTTCTCGAGTGTTCTTGTAAATTGTTTAGAAGGTTGTGAGATTTATGGGACTTATAGGTTTTTGTGAGTCTATCTTGTTTTTGTGATGTTTGAATTTCTTTTTGGGGGTGGTGGCTCGTGAGTGAAGAGTGAAGAGTGGTGAAGGAAGATGTTGGGGTTGAGGGGTGTGAGGCGTGTGAGGCGTGTGATGGGTGGGGATTGAGTGTATTTGTATTTGTATATGGGATGAGAATGAGAATGAGAATGAGAATGCGATGGTGATAAGTTGTTGTTGTTGGTAGTGGATTGGGAGTTGTTGTTGTTTGTTGAAGGGGTGTGGATTGGGAGTGAATGGGCAGCGAGGGAGGGAGAGGGAGGAAGAGGGAGAGCTCAGATTATGTGGTTTTCTTTATCCGGGAGGGTAGATACACTGATATTCTATTCTCTTTAGATTCTTCAAATCTTTTTTTTTATTTAAAAAATATAGATAGGTAGATGGTAGGTAGGTAGATAAGTAGATAGATATATTATACAAATATAAACATAAATACAGAAACAAACACATGAACAAGCACAAACCTGCCAAAATCGAAATCGAAATTCAAATTCAAATTCCATGATATCAATTTCAACCAAAGTACCAAGACATGATTCATAGAGTAGTTATGCATCTTAGCTCTGTATTGAGCAAGTTCAAGTACAAGTTTAAGTACATACAGTGAGGTGAAATGAGGTGAGGTGAGTGTGAATCTCTTGATATCTCATCGCGTTGGATTTTAGGGTTTGGGAGAGAAAATAAGGGGAATGAGTGGATGTTTGGGATTGAGTTGAAGTTGAAGTTGAAGTTGAAGTTGAAGTTGAAGTTGAAGTTGAAGTTGAAGTTGAAGTTGAAGTTGAAGTTGAAGTTGAAGTTGAAGTTGAAGTTGAAGTTGAAGTTGAGTTTATGTTTGAGATTTGAGTAGAGGTGAATGTACTTGGTACTAGGAATAGATAGAAGATTTTCGACGGGGATTTTCAACACGTATATAACATTTCTCGTTGTCCGTCTATATATATTAGACATCTACCTAGTACCCCATGAAGCTGGATGAGATGAGGATGGGAAGGAGATCGATAAATCACGAGCGCCTTTTGTGAAAAGGGAAAATGAAAGGGAGATGAGTGAACGAAAGACGGTATTGAGGATTGAATTACTTTGTATTGTAATTTGGGTAATTTGGAGAAGTATGTGTATACTGTGTATACTATGTACATGTGAATGTGAATGTGATAAACATGAAGATACCTACTCGTACGAATCGCATTGATCATTTAATGGTATATGTGAATTTTCGAGAAGATAGGAGAGCGAGCAGGCAAATAAGCAAGTATGGGGAAAATTTGAGAGAGTAGCGGAACTTGGAACTTGGAGCTGGAGCTGGAATAGGAGATGGGAATGGAAATAGAAATGGAGATG